CTCGTTATAATTATTTTTGTTTCTTTGTTCGCAAACTTCGATATCTTTTAAAGCTAAATTCTTACGCTCAAACAAACAATATCTGCAAGTATATTGAGAAAAACTGAAATTTTTGTTGAAACCTCCAATTTGGTGGGAACCTAAATTGCCGCCAATTACTGCAAACACAGTTCCAAATAGGTGTTCTTGCATGCCGGTTTTTTTATTCAGAAAATTTAGACCTGTCTCCAATATTTTCAGGTCACTAAGTAATGGTTTTAAAATAATTTCGAAGCCGAATTTTTTTATATAGATTTCGTTGCATAATAAAATTGGTTGAATGTTTTGTACCACAGACCTATACTTCACATCAATATTTCCTATCATAAAATAAAATCCAATCAGTTTGTGCCTTTTTTTTTGATGATCCCAAGGGGTTGCACAACTCAAATGCATCTTGAAAAATTTCCCTTCAAGGTGCTGAAATATGTTCCAAATATGAACGAAATCGGTCCAGCCGTTTAGTAGTTTAGTGACATTCAATATACGGAAAACTCTATGAAATTGTGAAATCGTGACGTCTCAGCTTTCTTCACTTTTCGGCAACAACAAAAAATTTCAAATTTTTTAAATCAAAGAACCTTCCACACAGAAGGTCCAAAAATGTGCTTTTTACAGAATCGAAATCGGTTCAGCCGTTTGGTCAGGCATCGCCGTCATACGGAAAGCATTTCATTTTTATATACACTATGTTCTGACCGACATCGAAAACATGATTTCGTTGCTAAAACTGGTTTTCGACCTAAAACTTGTGTTTTCGTCAATGTAAAATCTGTCAAACAAAAACAAGTTTTCGCTGAAAACCACTTGAAAACTCACGTTCCACTCATTCCAATCGGTGTCTGCACTAGTTTTTTTCGATTATTTATCGAAGTGGAAGTCATATTTTATCATCCTTACTGACCAAAATAAAATAAGCATGGAAGTAAAAGGTTGGCCGCTGTGGTGTAGTGGTAAGCAGTGCGCGCTTTCACTCACCAGCACCTGGGTTCAAGCCCTGGTCAAAGCAACATCGCAAGAAATTTAGAAAAAGGTTTTTCTTAACAGCGGTCGTCCCTCGGCAGGCAATGGCAAACCTCCGAGTGTATTTCTGCCATGAAAAACAGCTTCTCATAAAAATACAATCGCCGTTCGAAGTCGGCGTAAAACTGTAGGTCCCTCCGTTGGAGGTTGGAAGTTGGAGGAGAAGCTCGGCCAAACACTAACATATGTGTAAGCGCGAATCTATTATTATTAAGTAAAAGGTTGTTAATGAAAAGAAATTGGAGGAAAAGTATTTTGGTTTTGTATTTGTGCAGCAAAACTGTAAACAAAGGATGTAAGAAATGTCAACGAAAACACCAACAGTCGGTGTGAACAGCCTTAAGCCCACAATCCCAAAACTCGTTTTCAAGGTGTTTTCGTTGTCGGTCAGAACATGGTAATAAATAGATAGATTATGGTAATTATTTTTAAATTTATTTATTTTTTAGTTTATTTATTTATTTTACTATTTGACTATATAAATTCTGTGATATTTTGTTTATTTATTTATGTTTATTACTTATTATTTATTTTTATTTCTATTTTTATTTAACGATTTATATACTTTAGCCTACTATGTTATTTTATTTTATTTTATTTTATTTCCATCTGTGATATTGATGTAGTAGTACGTACGTATATGTGTGTACACACTAGAGGTTTACGCCGACAGGCTTTGCGTCGGCGGCGTGGTCAACTTCAAAAAGAATCGGCGGCGACGCCGGCGCGTCTGGAAACGCCTGCGCTACTGCCCATAAGGTAGATTCCAAAGAGCCATGAGGCTACTAATCTTATCATGCAATCAGATTATAATTTTATTTAATTCATTCATTGAGTTAGTTTTAAAATTAAACTACGTTACTTCCTACCTGAATTTAAATATTGGGTGTCTGCCGCTGACGGATGGGCGAACAGAAGAAAGTCTATATAGTATATACATTAGGGTGCCCATCGAAAATGCTTTTTGTTTTTGGAAATTTAAAGCCCCAACCACCTAATTTTATTCGTATTTATGAGAAATATGATTGCCTTTTTTATAGATTTTTTAAAGGTCATTTAGAGGTCGCGACCTGTCGATTTAAGTCAGAAAATACGATTTTGTAGATTATGATTTTTTGAATAACTATTTTTGCAAAAGTCATTATAAACAATTTATGAGATTGAAAACGAAAAACGTGGACCGCATGCAATCTAAAGCAAAGTACAAATTTGAGATCGATTTTAAGCGGTCGTTACTAATATACCCACATACATTCATATATTACTCATCAATTTCAAATCAGGCCTATTACATGCGCCCCACGCTTTTCATTTTCAATCTCATAAATTGTTTATAATGACTTTTGCTAAAATTTCAAAATCGAAAGTTATCAAAACAAAGTTCTATGGGACTGAGAAATATTTTCTAGTTTTAGTCCATTTATAAAAGCGTGGTACATTAAAAAGTTTTTTTCAAATTTATTTTATACTTTTTTGTCTCGTCTGTATAACAGTTTGCAAAAACTACTAAAACAATTCAAGTTGCAGTGAAAAGAGAACAGAAGACTATGCAAGCAAAATGTTGTTTGCTCACATTTAGTATATGCCTACATATGTACATACATACATATAGCAGCAATTAATTTCATTTAAAGAAATGGCGTGTCGTCCATTTCCGCTGTAGCGTATGTAGTGCATATTTTTAACTTCTTGTGGCGAGGCGACATCTATCTCTAGAGTTTTTCTAATTTTATGTCTTTGATATGGTACCTACGACGAGATTGATATCTAGACTAGGTTTGCCATGAATCCCTTTGCTATATTTATAGTATAAAATGGTGGTCTGGACATACAACATTGCAAGTTGATAAATGGGTTGTAAAAATGCATTTAAAGCAGAGGTGGCCAAAACTCACAAAATCATATATATTGAAATTTTGCTAAACGATGAGAGAATGAAGAGACTAAGTGGCTCACGCGTCTGATGCAAACAGTGTTGTCAACGATTTCGAGTTGCAAATTATGAAAAAGGTTTTTTTTTTATTTTGTAAATAGTGTGAAAGGGAGATACAATATTAAAGAATTAACCTTTTAATATAATTTAATTTACTTGCATTGCTTGCTTAGATTTTTTATTATAGTTAAAATTAAAATTAAAGCAAATAGAATTAGAATTAAAAGAAAGGGAATTTTTTAGCATTATTTTAAGTTCACTTTTTATTTGTGTACATATGTACGTAATAATTTATTAATTCAATATTTGGGAATAAGGGGTAATGGCGCTATAATGGCGCTGAAAAAAAAAGTTTGCCGTCCGTGCGATTTCTTCATGACACACCGAACATTGTGCCCTCCCTCCCCATTACTAGTGAGTAAAAAAGCTACATCCGATTCCATATTAAACATTTTTGCCGTGTCTTGCAGCGAGTTGATTGCTTGAAAGTTTCGCATCAATTGAGCACGATCACAGCAAAACCATAATTGTCGGCATCATTGATTCATAGAGTATGCTCATGTAGTATGTGTGAAAGCAGCGCAGTTTTTCTCGTGTACGTGTGAAAGCAGAAGAGAAAAATTTTGGCACGCGTGCCTATGAAATGGCCACCCTAGATTTAAAGCTTTAATTTGTTATTTTTTGGTTGATTCAAGATTTTTACAAATGTCTTATCCACACGTTTGTTAGTTTTATAAAGAAAATAATTTTTGCACTAAGGTTCACTTTCCCATGGAACCTCCCTGTGCTCTGTTTAACTGGAAGTTTGAATCAACTCATGCAGAGGTCTAGTAGGTATGGCACTCAGTACGGCAATCATACCAACTACGAGTACATACTAGAAAATAGATTATTACGTCTCGGTCATGGGCGTACGCATGGGGGGATGAGATATTTTTAAATATAAATTTTATTAGAAATGTTAAAAGATAGCTATTAAAAATGTTAAATAATTTACCTTATTAGTTTTTATCTTTTTAGCCGAATTCAAAAAAAGGAGGAGGTTATCAATTCATCGGAATATTTTTTTATGTATGTTAAAGTGTGTTTGCATTGTTCAACTTTGCGTTCAACATTTGCGTTCAACTCAGCGCAGGGTTGCACGAAAAAAAGTTGAATGGCTAAAAATATCAAAATATGAAAAAATATCAAAATATTCGCCATAAAAAGGTGTTTGCATTGTTCAACTTTGCATTAAACTTTTGGTTGAATGGCCTTTCAACTAATCGCTTTCAACAAAGTTGGTCGCCAGCCAACATTTAGCCATTCAACTTTTTTTTAGTGCAACCCTGCGTTGAGTTGAACGCAATTGTTGAACGCAAAGTTGAATAATGCAAACACTGCTTTACCGCATAACTTTGGACCACGTTAACCGATTTCGATAATTCTTTTTCTGGTGATTCAGGGGAGGTCCCATACTAATTTGGTTTAGAACCGATTATTGGATCATAAAGAAACTAACGGTACTTCTAAATTTTTATATGAGAATTGAAGTCGGTTGTGTTTTTTGCTTAAAAATTACTTGTTATTGTAAAAATTGAGCCCTACAGAGGAATTTAGTTTGCATAAAGTTTATTATGAACTTATTGAAGAGTTAATAGTACCTGCGTACGCCCATGGTCTCGGTCAAGCTGTTTATGGAACTTTTCTTTCTCTGTGCAACTCAAACCAACCGCCATGCTTATTCATACCAAAATTAATTTCGCGGAACCGCGGTGACTTTTCTACGGAACCCACATTAGGAAGCTCTGACCTAGACCTTCAACTTTCATCGAAATCCATAGAGGTCGCGCACAGAGGTGGCCGCGATGACATGAAATGCCTCTATAGAAAACTTATTTTCAGATAAATTCTTGTTGGAATAGCGTTCTAGATTTTGAGGAATTGGGCTTTGTCTCGTATTTTCTAAAATGTTGACAGCGCATTATGTTAATAATATTCTATTTTGTTTGCATTATCTTTTCAGTATGAAAATCCTACCACGCCATTGAATAATTTGGATCCAAAATTCTACGATACACCTCGAAGTCACAATAATATTGGCTTAAATTTAACCAACGATAAGTCGTATTCACCAAAAATTACAAACTGTAGACAGGTAAGTCGAAATATATATTGCTTAAGCCGAACCTGTAAAGTGTTGCTAGGATAAGGAAGTATAATATCTAAGACAAATTAAAAAAGAGCTAAAATAGGGGTCTAACTTGTTTATTTCCTATGCACGTGCATTTTATTTTTACTGGTGAAAATATACTGGTTTAAAAATTAGTGAGTATCTGCAAAAAGATTAAGGAAATATATTCAAGAAGAGATAAGCATTAATTTATTTTTTGAATAGCTGCTGCAGCGTCGTAGTTGTTGTAACCAGGTCAGCGCAAAGTTAGCACTACACTTTTCGAAATTGGAAAGGTTAAATACGCCATGAGTTTAAGCTTTTATGTTATTTTATTTTAGCTGTGATTGAAAAAAAAACAATGGTATGTAGTGCTAGCTTGTATTTTTTTTTAGCGGCTTATTTAACCCTGATCAACTAACGGGATTCCCACGATGTGCGCTACCCCAATTGCGTTGAACCAGAGGGAGAAAGCTTTAGTTGAATTTCGCGGGCATGCGACGAGTTGTGCCTAGTCATTGCATGACGTTTCGTGCTCGTCGGTTAACTGTGCCCCTAAAACGGCAGTCACCGGTCGGGAGTTGGTGTAGATTGAGACCGACTCCCTGTCGACTGACAGTCGAGAATTTGTTCGCCATCAGTGTGAACACCCAGATGTAGAGGGACTTCTTTCGTCCAGGTAGTGAAAGCCTTGCCGACGATTTCCTAGAGGAGACGGTGAAGCTCCTTTCAGTACACAAGCTAGAAAGTTCAGAGAGGAAACCGTTTACCTTCGAACCCAGGTCATCAATTTCATTGCCTGAACTGTTGGCTGGAGTTCTTGCCAGTTATGTCGGACTGCATGCAGCTGTGAGAATGAGCAGTTAATTAGCCATTGCGATTATTACAATTTTTCGGAGCTATTAAACGATTCCCACTATCAATAAATACAAAGAAGACGGAACACTTTTGAAAATGAAGTACAAATGTTTTATTTTATTTAAATGTATTGTTTATTTTGTATTTTTTAATACATAAGCAGGGTTCGGAATCTCATGAAAATGCATGTTTTCATTGGGCATATTTAAATCGTAATGGTTAAGTTATCTTTACGAATCATTTCCTATAAATAGCATTCAATCGTTAGTGCATCGTTTTGCACTAAATACACGGTTTTGCAAAAAATACCGATTTTTGCATATTTATAGCGCATATTTTAGTATATTTTACAATAAATGCATGTTGTTTCTGCATATGTTTTTTTTGTTTGTATTTACAACCAACTAAATTTAGTTGGAGATTAAGAAAATTCAAGAGAACGGTCGTGTTTTTAATTTGCTCCCGCATTTTTGGCGTATTTGTGCGGATTATAATTTTTGCAAATAAAATAAAACAAAACTAAGCTTGATTACTTTAATTGCATGCGAATAATACGATATTCATTCGCTATTTCAAGTACGGCGCGTAACAATAATCAATAAAATTTTCTTGCGCTATATAAGTTTAATCGATTCCAATTCGTTTGTTTGTTTTGCCGCTCGTTTGTTATGTCGGTCACTGCTCCTGCTCCACTGACTGAGCAAAGGCTTCCCCTCTGCAAATACAGCTAAATTTGATGAAGGTGCAGTTATCACACTCACAGTTGTATACAATAAGTCGAACGAGCTAGAGAAAAATTACAGAAGTGGAGAACAAACTCACAAAACGGATTGAGGAGAAGATTTCGTCACTCGCTGCTGCTGTAGCTGAATCATCTACGCACATTTCGGCATTGAAGGAGAGAGTGGAAAAGTCGGAGTCAATTTCAGGTACAGCAGAGATCGACTGCTGACATTGCTGCGGATACCAGTGTACGGACTGTAAATTTTTTTTTAGTGGTAGATAAGCCTTAAAAATGATGGCAAATTCCAAAACAATGTGGTAGATTTACATATACATATTTATGTATGCGTTAGGGCGGGTCAATTTGTATGGGAGATTTTTTTGACTATACGTGTATAGCAGAGAAGGATTCTATGTGTAATTCTAAGAAAATTTGCCGAAGAAACCATGAGCCTAAAATCAATTTGGAGTTTGCCAAATTGCGAACATAAGTTTCTTAGCATTTTGCTGTAGTGTCGTAAAGTAGAGCTTTAATTTCGTATAAAAATATGCTATAAGGGGGTTTCTTGGTATGAGGAGTCCATTTCTGCACGTATCTTTTTCTGAAAACTTCCACCGGAGGGCCCAACAATAAAAATTTTGACATTTTCTTCGAAACCTATTCTCGCAACTATGCAAGCTACAAATAGATTTTAGACCCACGGTTTCTTCAGCGAATTTGGTTAGAATTACGCGTACAATCTCCTATGCTATACGCGCATAATAAAATGCCCCGCCCTAGTATGCATGTAATAAAATATTTTAGTTTTTAAGTCTTTTATTAGTCTATAAAAGATACAATACTCTCACACATACGTACATATATTACTAATGTAAAAGAAAAACAAAGAAATACGTATTTCGGTGTTACATATGTAGGTATGTCAAAAAACAATGAGGTTTCTCCGGAACTATCTTCCAGCGATAATGGTTTTGGATGGATTTGGTTTGTCATGAAATGTATTTCTTATTAAAATATATTTCATAAATAGCTTAAAAAAAGTACCTTAGGGTAATTTTAGCGAAGACGATACCACAGGTAATCATAGATCGATTTTTATCGATTTAGTTTTCACTATTTTCTCTATTTTACAACGCTTTTGTCAACTTGCAATGTTGTGTGTCCAGACCATTTTTAGCTATAATTATAGATTATAATCAAAGTTCCTATACAAAAGTGTAGCCATCATCCTCGTCGGTACGCCTTGCCGGAAGTAGTTAAATATTGCGCCTAAAAACATGCACTACATACGCGGAAATGGGCGCCAAGCCATTTCTTTAAATGAAATTAATTGGTGCTCGTATGTATGGCTGACTTCCAAAATGTATGTATACAGTTTTACTGCGGTGTGTACACAACGTAGCTATGCTTAGTTAAAATAAAATACAAGGCAAAAATGTGCAAAGTAAATTGTTACGTTATGGAACACTTAGGTTGCAAACAGAGTGGAAGCGAAGCCGAAGACGAAGATGAAGACGAAACCGAAGACGAAAAACAGTGCAGTAGTAAACATATGAAAGTGATCACAGTGCAAGCAAAGACGAAGACGAAGATGAAGACGTTGCGCAAGCGGTCAGCTTGAAACAGTGCGGTACTGTTTTCAAAGACGAATCGCTTGCTGTGATGAATTGTTTACAATTTATTTAAATGTTTGCAATTGTGAAAAAACGCGTTTTTCAAGAAATTGGCTAAATTTTTGGCAAAATGTAATCAAACGTATTAATTGGCATTCTTGTATATTTGAAAAATGTCTGTCCGTCTTGCCGTAACACATAATACAAGTGGCGAAATTCTCCAAAAGTTGTCCTATACAAATTATTTCATGAATTGCTGTTTTTTCTTTATTTTCTTTTGATTTTATCTAAAAAAATGGTTTTATTTAGAAACAAATCTTCATATCATTCATCTTCCACTATGTACACTCGCCAGCTTGCCCGCAACGCAAGCAATTCGTCTTCGGCTTCGTCTACATCTTCGTCTTCGGCTTCGCTTCCACTCTGTTTGCAACCTTAAGGCCCGTCCACATATAACTTTGGCGTTGCGTTGGCGTTGGCGTTGCTTCAACAGCTGACTATGAATACATACATGAATTCAAATGCAGCCGTAAATCGATTTAACAAATCTTTTATTTTAAAAATGAAATCTTGTTATAATATAGTTTTTAAAACCAAAAACGAATGTAACACCTTCAGAGGGTAACAATAAATAACAAAAATCACTTATATAATAGTGATGTACAAAAAAAAAATCTTTAAAAATACGCATACTTTTTAAAAATATTTGTTTCATCACATTTTGCAATAGGACTGCGAAATTACTAAATTTATTATAACTCATATTAATTGATTAATCGCACAATCCGCTTTTAAGAGCTCGGCGCTAAAAATTAAATAAAAACCTATAATGAGCCGAGATCAGCTATTTCCACAATTTCTTCAAAATCACCTATAGCGTCTGAATCATTTACATTTCTGTTGTTGTCATATATTGAGCTATTCAACCGTGATGACATACTGTTTGATATGGGAAACGTTTTGCAGCAGAAACTATTAGCCTTCATATAACACTTTATTCGAACTATTGAGTTAAGGCTTTTCAACCTCATCCTATTTCGAATCTTAGTTTTTGTTGAATTCATTAATCATTCAAAAAAACGCGCTCAACAAAAGCCTAATAAAGGATAATAATATGAATTTACTTATATTTCCAAACATTTTATTGCCTGTTGCGGTTTTCACTCCGTAAGCAATTATCCAAAATTATTCAAAATCGGATGGAATGGTTTTAAGAAAAGTTATTCCATGGGAAAGTTAAAAGATTTAAACTGCTTTTATTTCCTTCAAAATCAAATAGTGAATTAACAGGTCCCTGAAACTTGTCCTCTTGTGATTCACACACTTTTCTGGAAACAAAATCAAAGCTTTTTTAAAAGTATTTAAATGACTAGGTAATCGTTTCAAAAGTTTTTTGATAAGGGTGATTAAACATTTTTGACAGTCTTTTAATATGCTTCTTAAGTCAAGTTTATCACGCAGTTTATTAGCCTCTTCTGTAAAATTATCGTGAAAAACTAAGTTTTGTATATTTTTATAATAGGAAAAAACTATATTTGAAGGGAAAAAATCGCCAAAAATCGCCAGTGGCGATTTCCTAAATTTTTACGCCCAAATATTCAAGAAGAATTTCCAAATTGGTGAGAAATCGCCAAATCTGGACACTCTGTCGTAAATATCTGTATGATACGCTGTTACAACCGTCTTAGTACATTTTGGAACTTAATGCTTTGTTAAAAAAAACCCCCTCACGATACAGAACATGATGCTTATGACGTACATATACTTTGAAAATGACATGTAACATGTGG